AAAATTAATGAACACAATTCAATTATAAAAGTGTATTTTTTCAAAGTATTTTGATTTATTCATAATTAAACATTTAACATTTTAATCATATATTATTAATATGATTTTTGCTTCTTTAACTATATTAAATAAATCATATTATAAAATTATCAATAAAGTTAACTAAAATAGTGCTCTTAGATCCAATTTGGGATGCTTTTAAAAAAACTGAATTGTGTAATCTAAAAACAAGATAATACACTGTTTAATGCAATTACTATAATAAAGATTTTGATAGAAGAGTTAATACAATATATATTTATATAATTGATCATTGTAAAAATATTCCACAATCTGATAGATTTAAATTTATTGAATTACAAGCTAAAAAAACTACTGCCTCTCATATTAAAAGTAAAAGCATAGATAATGATGATCAAGATTCAGAAGATACTCTGTCAGTTTTGAAAAAACTAAAAACTTCAAGTAATCAATCTCAATCAACAATAAATTCTTATTTTACTCATCCTTTATCTAAAAATAATATTGATATAATTCATGAAGCATTAGTTAAATTTTTTATTACTTGTGGTATTTCTTTTTGAATTATTGAAAACAAATATTTTCGTGATTTTCTTATACTTCTTAATATTAATTACTTACCTCCATCAAAATATAAACTTATTTGTGATTTAATTCCTAAAATTTATAGCCGAATTCTTTTAAAAATTATAGATTCTTTAAAGTTTTGTAAAGATTTAACATTAATTTTGATGGCTGGACAACTATTTCAAATAGTTCTGTTTATGCATTTTTTGCTATAACTAGTTATAGTAATATTCATATGTTGGGTTTAGAAGAATTTAAAGATCAATGTCATACAAGTGAAAATATTGCAAATATAACTATAGAGACAATTAATAAAATTGAATTAAATATGGAACAATTTAGTTAGATTGTAACTGATAGCCCAAATATAATGAAAAAATATTGCAAAATTATATCAGAAAGGTAAATTTTAAATTATTAATTTATTAATTTTAATATATGTTATTATAATATACTATATATATTTTTAATTTAATTTTATTTTTAAAACTTAAGATATCCTTGGATTACAGGTCTTGGATGTATTTTACATTTGCTTAATCTTATTTCTAAAGGAATTTTCTCATATCCTATTGCAAGAGAAGTTATGATAAAAAATAACAGATTAGTAATCTTTTTTAAAACATCATATATTTGGTCTAAATGTTTAGAAAATTGGCATCAAGCTCAACCAGATATTAATCATGGATTAGTAACATAGACCAATATTCGCTAGTACTCTGCATATAATAATATAAAATCAATTTTTCTACATGAATCTAGATTTTGTCAACTTTTTAATCATAATAAAGCTAAACAATCAAAAACTGGATTAGACCGTAAAATAATTCAAATTATTGAAGATAGAAATTATTGAAAAAATAATAAACTTTTAATGAAAATACTTGAACCTGTATTAAACAATTAGAAACTGCAAATACGATATTAGCAGATACATATTTATTATTAATTAATTTAGAAAAAAATCTAATTTCATTATTTACTAATATTGATAATTATGATTTTAAGCTTTATATATGTTAAGTTTACAACAAACAATTTGCAGAACTTGATTTAGATCTTTGTACACTAGCAATATTTTGTTATTCTAAAACTCGAAATTTTGCAATTTCAAAAAAAACAACATTATCAGATATACAAACAACTGCAATTAAACTTGTAAAAAAATAGAATTGGAATAGAGAATCAGCAGTAGATATAAAAAATGGTCTAGCAGATTATTTAAATTTTATTGGTGATTTTAATTTAGATAAAAGAATTTTAATAGATAATTTACGTATATATTAGGACCATATTTTAAATTCAAAATATACTGCTCTCATTATATTTGTTAAACATATTTTTTCTCTTGTTCCTTATACAGCAGAAGCAGAGAGATGTTTTTCAATTCTTGGGTATAATAATACAAAATATCATAATAATATGACAACTAGTACATTAAAAATTATAGGTCAAATTAAAACCTGGTTACGTCAAAATGAATCTAGTAAAATTTAAATTAAAAATTCAAAACAAGATAATAAAATAGATTCAGAAGAAATTTATAATATCGATGATTGGGATGATAATATTAATGATACTTTAATTTCTATAGAATTAAAAGATAAATTAGAAATATTTTTTGAAGAAGAACAAGCAGAACTTGAAGATATTACAAATTTAACACCAAAGTTTATAATTAAACAATTGGTTGATATTAATGATCCTATTTTTTATAATCAAACTGTATTAAATAATTTTATAGATAAAAGTTTGGTT